GCGTCGACATTGCTATTCTCCGCTCTTGGCACCTGTTGTATGTCATAGGCTGTGAATTTTTCTAAGGCTTCTTTGACCTTCTTGAGGTATGTGACCATTTTCTCATCCCGGGTCTGATATTGGCCCTTCACTTGATTCACAACTAGCTGCAAATCACTAAAAATGTCTATGTTTCCCACCTTTAAGTGCTCTGCTAACCGGAGTCCAGCCAGTAGTGCCTCGTATTCAGCTTCATTATTAGACACAGGGAATTCAAACCTGATGGCTAAGGTTATCTTGTGTCCCTCAGGTGTATGCAATACCAGTCCTGCTCCACTGCCATATTCATTAGAGCTCCCATCGACGTAGAGCTTCCACCGTTGCGGTGCATTACCCTCTTCTGCTCCATCTGGCAACCCCGCAAACTCTACCACAAAGTCAGCTAGGGCTTGGCCCTTGATGGCGGTCCGTGGCTTGTAGTTGATATCGAATTGGCTAAGCTCTATGGACCATTTAAGCAGTCGGCCAGAAGTGTCGGGCTTTTGTAGTACTTGCCTGAAAGGATGATTTGTCAAGACCTTAATACTATGGGCCTGGAAGTAATGGCACAACTTCCTCGATGTCACAACCAGTACGAGGGTGAGCTTTTACATTTGGGGATATCTCATTTCTGCGTCGAGGAGGCGCTTGCTGATGTAATACACCGGCAGTTGCACCTTCTTCTCTTCACGGATCAACACTGAACTAACGGCGTGTTTCGAGACCACCAGATACAGGCTCAGCACTTCTCCAGCCGCCGGTTTGGACAGCAGAGGCAGTTTCCCAAGGTGTTCCTTCAATTGTTGGAATGCCTGTTCACACTCCTCCATCCATTGGAATGGCTTGCTTCTTCTCAGGGTATCAAAAAATGGTATGCACTTATGCGTGGACTTTGAGATAAATCTGTTGACGGTGATTTTTTGACAACTCATGATTATCTCTCTGAGAACCCTCTCAATGACACTCACGGATTAGTTAAGGATTGAAGCTTAAAAATAATGTAAAGAAGACAGAGATTTATAGTGGTTCAGCAAGGATTCTTGGCCTAGTCCACTTATGGATGCATTAATCTTTCAGAGATTACAAGTTCTTTCCTGAATAATGTAATAGTGCGTACCCCTTCAATGGGGTTTTTTGGCTCTATTTATAGGCCTTTACATGTGAGAGATCTCCTCTGCATTGCCCGAGGAGATCATTTTCCATCCCTGATGACAATCTCAGGAAATCAGGCTGACCTCTCTTACTGGCTACCTAATTTCCTGACTTTGACAGTAGCAGTTGGCACAATATACCCTTCCCTGAGTTGACAGGACTGTGGTTGGATTTGACTGGACTGCTTCCGATCTGATCTAATTCCTGACTCCTCGACACAAAGGCTTCAAAGGGCTTTTTGTGGACTTTTTGACTTCAACAATGCAAAGGCCTTAAGAGGACCTTAAGCACTTCTTGACTCCAACACCTTGACTCCTCGACGCAGAGGCTTCAAAGGGCTTTTAGTAGGCTTCTCGACTTGAATGACGCAAAGGCCTTAAGAGGACCTTAAGCACTTCTTGACTCCAACACCCTAACTTTAAGAGCGCTCCTCAACCTAGAGACATCTCCCTAACTGTTAGTTCTCGACGTCAGGGATTTGTCCTGACTTTCAGAGCTCTCGACGCGTACGACAAAAGTAGGTGGCTTGAATGGTCGACCATGGTGTAACAAAATCTATTAAGTGCTGCAACACATCTCGTCAGCTTTTGAACCTCCATAGGCTTCCTTGGTGACTTCATATCGAGGAGTGCCTGTATCTTTTCTGGGTTGGCCTCAATGCCTCGACTACTCACCATAAAACCCAAGAATTTTCCTAACCCGATGTCGAACGCACACTTGTGGGGATTTAACTTCATTTTGTACATCCGGAGGACGTCGAACATTCCCTTGAGGTCCCCCACATGGTCCTTGATTTTCCTGCTCTTCACTAGTATATCATCCGCATACACCTCCATTGACTTTCCCAATTGTTTCACGAACATCTTATTGACGAGGCGTTGATAGGTTGCTCCCGCGTTTTTGAGACCGAAGGGCATGACTATGTAACAGTATAGACCCCTGTCAGTGATGAACGCCGTATTTTCCTCATCGCGGTCGAACATTGGTATCTGGTTGTACCCAGAGTATGCGTCCATGAAGCTCAGGAGTTCGTGCCCTGCGGTAGCGTCGACTAGCTGATATATCCTCGGCAGCGGGAAGCTATTAGCGTTTATGCCCTTAGGAATAAATGTAACAATATTCTTTGAGACATTTTGACTATTAATAAAGATTTGTTTATTTCATATATCTATGTATTGTCCTCTTTATGTTCATAATAGTTGAATGTATGATAAGCAAACTGAATGTCTGAGACTGTCATTCTAAATCTTTAGATCATGTATGTAATGTGAAGAACATGCGGAAGACAAGAATCTAACGATGATAGTCTAAATCTTATCCACAATCGAGGGAATAAAGTTGGGCGCTTTATTCATGTTAAGATTGCTATGTTGTCTACTTCCTAACGGAGACGGCTTGTCTTGGTCTTCGGAGGTGGGACTCTTTCTATGTTTAGATTTCTCATGGGAATTTGTTGAAATATGAGTAAAGAGGCGAAATCATAAGTAGGTCGGGAGATCCTTGTGTAAAATTTGTGTTTCAAGTTAACTGACAGTATTGTTGTAGCAAAAGTCGTAACATAAATAGCCTAGGTTGCAATGAAGGAGAAATTGAGTCTTAGTCCTTCACATAGATTGATTTTCTCCTTTGATAACTGAGTTTGCATTTATTAACTTGTGTTTACTGCAATTCTTTTAGTCTTTGTAATTGAATCAAACCATTCAATTTGTTTACATTGCATCTCTTGGATCTTATTAGGAAAAGTATTGATAACTTTCTCCGTGGGAACGATACTCTACTCACACTTTATTACTTGTTTGGCACGTACACTTGCGAGCATAAAAATCATGCAACAAATCTCGACCACATTTAAACCACGGAGAACTTTCTTTAGGTATTAGAGTTTACTATGTTCAACTTGTTTATTTATGTATCTTTTTTAATATTTATGCTATCAGAAAGTTTTAGATTTATGTTCTAACGTAAATTTCCTTAATTTCTATACACTCTTCTGATATTTCAATATTTTTTTTCAAAATCTCCGTAAAACTAAAGTATCGATATTTCCATCTGATGCTGAGATTTTTATTCTTGGGCGTAATGAAAGCTTGTAACTTCAAAATAAAATAAAATAAGACTTGTAAATTACCTATTTTCTAATATTAAACGAAAATGTTTCTACTATAAGTAAGTAACAGCGATTTTATTGGATAAAAATAACAATACAATTGGTAATTCTCTGCATGTTCTGTAAATCATTCAAAAGCTGCAGTTTACGCATATTGTTTTGAGGGTGGTTCTGTTTATAACACACCCCTATTTACTTTCAACATCTCCTTCTAACAACACACTCAATAAAAGTTTGAAGGATTTGTTCAGTTATATTTTTAAGTTATGGTGACTTGAGTGTAGATCTTGAGTTGAATTTGAGTTATAATTTAACTTGAAGTTATAACTTGAGTTTGTGTTTGCATGTGCACATTTGAGTTATGACTTGAATTAAGAATCTATTTGAGTTTGTGTTTGAGTAGGTCAAAACTTGAATTTGTATTTAGATAGTATTTTAATAAAAAAACTCAATGGAGATGAAAATTTTTAGTAAGGTATATAGGTGGGGTTTTATTCATCTTTTCGTTGTGAACACATAGAAAAAAATGATCTCAATCGGAATTAAAATGAAAAAGTTATGACTTTTTTAAGAATAGAAAAAATATTGTTCATTAACTTAAGTTTGAGTTTAAGAACTTGAGTTGAGGGAGAAACTTAAACTCAGATTTTATCCCCAAATTCAAGTTAAACTTCGAGTCAAAACTCAAGTTCAAACTCAAATTTTACAAACGAACATGAACTTGAAAAAAGATGTAACTTGAGTTCAAATTATTTTTAGTTTTACTCCAAAAGAACAAGCCCTAAGTAATTAAACTTACTTTTTACACACCCTTATTATTCTTAAACTACCCCTAACTATTTTTATTAAGTTAAATAATTCTTGATCTCTTAAATCTTCTTCATACCCATCATTTTATTTTAATCTGTAATTTTACTACATTATTATTTATTTTCTATTTTTTGTTTCTAAAGCTTTGGGGATGAATTTTTTTTTTTTTTTTGAAGTTTAATAGGTGATTTCTTTAACTAAGAATAAGTTAGAAACAATTCATAAAAGAAAAAAACAACTCAAAAATAACCAAAAAAAAAAAAGAGAAGACGACAAGAGAGTTACATTATATTATAGTAGGAGGAATAAATGTCAGTGATTAGTGCTGATGTGGATTGGTTTACTGACTAAACTTGTTGAGGAAGTTTCTTTGGTGATAGCCTATAAATAAGGAGCGTTCGAGAGCTTAAGTAGCTTTTGAGTAGTATTGAGTTAGGACAGAGAGAAGGTGATCTCTCGAATATCACCATCGTTAGGGCGATCGTTAGTTTCTGAATTGAATCTATCTCTTTCCATTCTGTTTTCTGTCAATTTGTTGTGGATTCTATCAAATTGGTATCAAAGCAGTTCGACTGGGAATGGTAGCTAGGAGAGCTGAGAAGAACATGGATGGAAGATTGGAATTTCTTGAGAAAGACATCAGAGAACTTAAGTTGGACGACGGAGAACTTAGGTCAGACATTGGAGAACTCAAAGGAGTCGTTGGACAGCTCTCGGAGGACATCGGAGCAATGAGAGAATACATGAAGGAGCTTACTGGCTGGATGAGATCTGGAGGCATGGCGAATCCACCGGCAGAGCAAGCTAGGGCGTCGACTTCGAGCGGTGAGGAAGGAGGCAGTGCTACGATGGCGGTGAACAACTCCGGTAATGGTCCAACACCGAATGGTTGGGATACGTGGTTCTATCGAATGGAGATTCCTCTCTTCAACGGTGAAGATCCGCATGGCTGGTTATTTCAGCTCGAACGATATTTCCATATCCAATACGTTGACGAGGCTGAACGGGTGGTGGCGTCGGTTATCAGACTTGAGGGAAAAGTGTTGAATTGGTTCCGGTGGTTGGAATCCAGGTCCGGTAGCATTTCTTGGCCATTTTTCAAGGAGTCTGTGATGCAGAGGTTATGCTCCTCGCAAACTGGCAACCATTATGAGGCACTGATCGCTTTGCAGCAGGATTCGACGGTGGCTGAGTTTCGTGAGAAGTTTGAACTACTTTTAGCTCCTTTCAGGGAGGCCGATAAGGAGTTCCTAATTGGAGCTTTCTCGAACGGGTTAGCAAAGGAAGTCAAGGCTGAAGTGCATATGGTGAGGCCCACTTCTTTGGTTCAGTTAATGGACTTGACCCAGAAAATTGAGGAAAAAAATTGGGCCCTTGAAAGGCCTCAAGTCTTGCGGACCACACGGTCCAAAACAAGTGGTGATTGGGTTGGAAATTTTAGACAGGGGACTTCTTTTGGGTAGAGGAGATTAGTAGGTGGAGATAATTTTGTTAATAGTTCCAGCTGGATTCCACCAAAACTTTGGAGAGAAATGGAGTTGCTACAGAGTTGACACGTGCTAGTTTAGCTCCTTCTAGCATGTCAGTCAATAAGAATCAAGAAAGTCTTCCTCCTTCTAGTTTTACAAGGAAAAATGACAACAACTTTAGGAGGAAAATCTCAGACGTGGAGATGCAGCGGCGGAGGGAGCGTGGTTTGTGCTTTCGATGTGAAGAAAAGTGGCGGTTTGGCCACGTATGCAAGAATCCTCAATTATAGCT